GAATGTCCCCTCATAGTCCCGGATTGCAATAAATATGACTCTTTAATTCGACTTCTTGAGGCGTCCTTCTGTGATTCGAGGGGTACATTACAACATTTTCTCTTGGTATTTTAAAATAGAGTCTTAAAATGATTTTTTAAAACAAAGTAACTTGGTTCTAGCCTATTCAGTAAAATGTGTATTTACTTTTTATTTAGAGGCCTTTCTATCATTGTTTGTACATGTTTTTAAATGCTATAATAGTATATTATCATTCTTCCATTGTTGTCATACTAGCCTTTGCTGTTTCTTTTACTCATTTTTTCCCTCAATCCTTCAAAGTATTCTGGCCTGATGTTGGTATTTGTCTCCATTCCTATCTTAGTGGATGGACTTTTATATGTAATGACTGACATAGACCGTGTTTTAAAATAAGCAGGTGGTATTCATTAGTAAACCATGAAATCAGTGGGTTGCATGACCAGCATTTCTTTTATAAGTTAACAAAGTTAAAATAGAAAGAAATTAAAAGAGTGTGTTCAATATAGTAAGGGTAATATGGTTTCATGAAACTTTGATTTTAATCGTGTGTGTGTGTGTGTGTGTGTGTGTGTGAGAGAGAGAGAGAGAGAGAGAGAGAGAGAGAGAGAGAGAGAGAGAGAGAGACTGACATGCAATGTATTTTTGACCATGGGTTGTAAGCAAAAGAGTTTTAAAAACACTGTCTTAAGTTAGGCTTTTAGTCAGTTACTAACCATGTACTTACCATTCTCAGAAATGTAAGGTCAAAAGTACATGTTTTTGCTAGATTGTGCTATTTTAAATAAATGAGTGAGGAAGAAAGGGAGGGAGAGGAGAGAGAAAGGGGAGGGTGGGAGGGGGAGGGGGGGCTAAAGATGGGAAATAGACTATGACAATAGTAGTTCTTATGCCTAGTTTACAATTTGAATACCATGGTATTATTCATAAAGGAAATTGACACCTGTCTCCCAGGAAATAGGTCATTTGCTTCAAATAAGCAAAGAGTAGTAGATAGTATTAGTCAGTAGTAAACTTTGTTAGAGTTTTGCCTCAAAATAATTTTATGTAAAGTTTGTTTTTTTAATTATTTGGAAGTTCCCCACATGTAAGAAGACTGATCATTATTTACTAAAGAAGTGAATTTATTTCCTTCACAAAAATTCTAGCATTGTGACACTTAACACCTCAGATTCTGCAAATTATTTTATCCAAGTTGTTTTAAGTATCACATTTCTAATATTAAACATAAAAATACTATATAGAAATGGTTAGCTGGAAGATTTGCTTCATTTTATTTATTCTAAAATGCCTTCTTGTAAGTCCTAATGAATTAAAGTGAATCCTATTTTGACCTCAACTAAACTAGAAATCAAACTTGTCTGCCTCTTTGTGTCCAGAAGAATCCAGGTTTATTTATATACCTACTTAATATCTGTACCTCAGTTTAAGAAAATAATTATCCCATCCCCGTTTAAAGTTTACACTGTAGATATTCAAATGGTGGGTTGGATTTATTCTTTTGTGTGTACTGTAAAAGGACTAACCATATCTATGCCACTTTTTCCTAAGTGATGTCAGTGGTTCTCAAACTTTAGATAGTATAAAAATAATCTGATGCCTTTATTAAAAATGAAAGTTCCTGGGTTTCATCCTTGATTCAGTGAGTTTACCAGTAATCTGCATAGTGGTTAATTATATCGATTCTGGAACCAGGCTGTTTGGGTTTGAATGCCAACTTTACCATTAACTCTGAAACTTAGGTAAGTTACTGAACCTCTTTGTAATGTCAATTCCTCATCTGTACAATGGATAATAATAGTACCTACCTCAAAGGGTTGTTGTGAGGATTAAATGATAGAACTTACTATTTTCTCTCTTGGTATTATTATTATTTTTTTTTCAAATAAACATGCCATATGCTTCAGACAAAAAAAATACTGTGTTATGAGTAGGAAAATCAATTAGGAATTGGCTCAAGAGCATGTATTATTAGACCTTTATCACTTTCTCCAGCTGCTTAAGTCCTTGAAAGAAATCTTAGATTTGGTCATGTTTCATAAATCATGAAATCAAACGATTAAGCTTATAAGAATTTGAAAAGTGAAAAGAACCAAGTAATATTATTTGCATCATTATATTTAACCAGAAGAAAAAACTTATGCTTAGCCCTACTCTAGTGTTGAGTTATACATTTGGCATATAGGGGAACTTGTCAAATTTTTTTTAGTCAAATAGTTGCAAAAAATTAGGAAATATCTTTATTTTAATAAAATTAATTTTTACCAAAAGCCTTTTACTTTAATTTGTTTAATTGAGAAATAAATCTTATATATGAATTCTCATTTTGTACATAATTATAACAAAGTCATAGAAAGTATTTTATTTTTTAGAAAGTATTTTAAAACCTTAGTGTGTCAAGTCAAAATAAGTTTAAACTTATTTTAAAACAAGTTTTTAAAATAGCTTAAAAGCCTTAGTTACCATGACTCCGCTTTTTATTGGTAATCAAAAATATGTCATTTATCCTAAAGGCTGCTTTGCAGAGGAAATTCAGAATCCAGCTAAGACTTTAACTAAAAGTATTGTTTTAAAATGTAAGCATCTCACTGAACCTTAATACCTCTAAAAAAACAACAACTATGTTTCTCCATTTAACCAATGAAGAAACTAAGGAATATGAAATAAAGTACTGCCCTAATGTAACAAATTGGGACCAAAATTAAAATTAGAGTTTTAAGTGCTTCACTATGTTAAGGATCTTTTGATTACATTATTATTTTGAATTGCTACCTCTTAAGATAAGTATTTCCAACTTCAGCTTTTTGTTTCACTTTCAACAGCATGGGTTTTTACTTACACCTTAAAATTCTTTTAATTTTTAAATATACATAGTACATTGAGAGAAACATCTGTTTTTAATCATATAGTAGTAAAAAATATTTTAACTTGTTAATCAGATTTATTTTTTACGTCACACAAGATATTCTTATTTGCAAGTTTTAAAGAACTCGTTATTGCTGGTATGGTGATCATAAGAAGTGAGAAGGAATTTTCCTGTCAGTTTTAACAGATACTAATATAATTTTAGCTTAAGTACAGTATAAATTTTTAATTTACACCATGCGTGTAGTGTTTTGCTCACAATTTTCATAGTAAGTTATATAGGAATGTTTTATTAGAATGGTAGTGAACATGATCCATTTCATTTGGACCTGTTCATTTTGACTTTTCTGCCTTGTATCCCTTTGCTTTTTAATATAATTTACTATATTGTTTTATTTTTGTATGCTACCTTACTCCTTTTGGAATATATAAAGTACATATCTCTCAAACCTACTGAGTTTATAACCCAAAGGGCAAAATTTCTAACTTGAAGTAGTAATAAAGTAAGGAATGAATTATTTTGTAATTTTTCTGAGATGGGGTAATGGGGTTCTTTTGATCTCTATGGGACTTCTCCTCTACTACGCACACACATTTCTGCTGCTTGAGTTGAAGAGCGGGCCTTTTAATATTTGCCATTTAATAGAAGTAAAAGGTTACATGTAGTAAATGAAATCCTAAAACTATAATACATTTCCAGTTGTTAGATTTTGTTTTGTTTTGTTCTGTTCTGTTTAGAAAGACCCTTTAAAGAACATGGTATAATAGAAGAAGGATGAATCCCAGGTTCTATGGTTTTCCCTACCAGTGTGTAATCTTAGGTTAGTAACTATTAGTTTTAACTAGCATGTATACACCTTTTTAGCCTGGGCCAAGGTTTGGACCAAATTACATATTTTGGTCCCTTTAGCTTGTGGCTGTGTCATGGATTGCATCAAGTGAAAGATTAACTTGAGGGGAGATTGGGACTGCCTTAAAGAGGTTTTTCTTGGGGGATAAAACTCTTCTTGTAACCCCTGCAATGTGACAGAAAACTGTCATGAATCTTGGCAATGCAGTCCAACTGTAATCTGAGCTGCTGTGGAGCTTTCTCCCAGCCCCTCCGAGGTCCTGAGCCTCAGATATGTTTTTCAAATTCAAGGTAATGAGAAAGAGGTTTTAATAAGGTGTTTTGCTTCATTCAAGAAATGCATCTGTTTTCCTTATTAAGGCGAACTTTAGTTATTGGATTGGTTGTATTTTTAAAAGCATCATTTGAAGTTGAGTTGAGTTTAAAGGCCACACATATGCCTTACTTTATAAATCAGAAGAACTATAACAGTTGCATAAATCAAATTATTTTTTCTTTCAATATTAGTAACAAAATTAGAATTATATTCCTATACTAGAATTTGTAATAGTTTAATTTGACCCTATTTTCCATATGTTACATATATAATACAAATTTATGTAGAGAGAGGTATGTATTAATATACTAGAGGCCTGGTGCATGAAATTCGTGCAAGGGGCCCGGCCCGCACCCGCCGCGGCAACCACCTCTGCCTCGGCCCCTGCCAAACGGTGGCTGCCTCTGCCTCTGCCCCCTGCCACCGTGGCTTCGTCCAGAAGGTCATCCAGAAGGACGTCTGGTCTAGTTAGCATATTACGCTTTTATTATTATAGATAAAGGGTATAAATTGTTATGGAGATATTAAGTCATTTTAAGATAATATAAAAGTAAATATTGCTAAAACTTTTGACTCTCAAATTCAACAAAATTTATGTTTAAAAGTCATGTCAGTTATTTTAAGAAACAGTTGTCTTCTCATTGTGCATTTAATTCAGTATTCCATCCCCTGTTTGGAATCTTTGTGAATGTTCATATTCATTAGCTCCTTAGTACCATAGGTTTCAGTAGCTATGCAGTTTTGTAATTCATAATCATTAAATAACTTCCTGCTCAAAAGTGTGATCGGAAGACCATACCTGGGAACTTGTTAGAAATGCAGAATCCTAGGTCCCACCTCAGACCTCATCAAAAACCACATTTTAACAAGATTCCCGGGTGATTCTTATGCACATTAAAGTTTGAGGAGCACTGATTTAGTACAACTAAATAACTGGGTAGGCCACTTGAAAGTGTTATTTTATATAGCTCGTAGACTGTGGAAATCATTCATGGTTTGACTTCAGAACTGTTATTTATTCCTTTAAATTGAATATAAATATTTGTTGACCTCATGGCTAATTGTTAATTAAAAGATCTTTACTTTTTTTAGGGTATGTTTAGTTGTAGGAATATATGTTTTCATTGTAATTACAAGTTTCTAAAAACTATATTATTTTTTTGTAAAATGAGACAGCTAAGATGCAAGTGAAAATTCTTCTGAGCTTTGCTATATGTGCAAATTAGAAATCTTTGCTATGATATGAACTAGTACACCAAGTTCAGTGAAAAGGGGTCTAACCAACCATCTGTAAGCTGTGGGGCAAATTTTACATGAGAGTCATAATAGCAGATTATATAGTGGGAAGTTTAGAATTCTCACTAAAAATCTGGTGTAAGGCCAACATTGTTCTTAGGCTTTAATAGAAATTGAAGACAATTTCGTTCTTGAGGCACTTACATGGTTAACCACTCCACTGCTTGACTATCAGCATTTCTTCCATAACTCTAGACGCAAATGGGAATGTGTAGTTTGTAATAAATATTAGTTGTACTGTCCTGCTAATATATTATGTACTGTTTTCTACTCTGGAATTGTTTTGAGTTACTTAATTATATAATCTTACCTGCTTTGTCAGTTCTGTGAGTTTGAAATTATGTAGCTATTTCTAATAATGGTATTTTAATACTAATTATAATTTATAATATCTGTGATAAATTTTCCTTAGTTTATTAGGTGGAGCCATATTGCCATTTTTGTAGATCAAAGGCATATCAGCAATTTCATATAATTCAGCCTAATAATAAAGGAAGTTTAAGGGGCTCCTCGTCTCCCATTTTAGTTATTAGTCACTAGGAATGATCTTACTGTAACACTTTTCCTTTTGTCATTTTTGTTTATTTGTTTCTTTGAAAAGAAAGTATGCCTTTTAGGAAAACAATATTCTTACACATAAATTAATGAATAAACAAGGGCTGATAAATTAGTGAATTAATAGCTTTATAAGTATAGTATATTTTTAAAATTATCACACAGTATAGACATTACAGTGAGACTTTCATTAATCTAAAACTTTTCCTCTGTAGGTGGTTGTAGTTTTGTTTTAAAATATGAGCTTAAATTATTTTAGGAAAAATGTTAAGAATATTAAACGAATTGGAAAAACTCAGTATAATTTTACAAGAACTAAAATGTAGTTACCAATTTGTTGCTGACACTTTACAGTTTAAAACTTTAGTAATTAAGTCAAACTAGTTTGATTATTAATAATTAAAAACCAATTATTTTGGCCATTTTTTAATATTACCAAGTAAAATAAAATGAGCCACACAATTATGAAAGGAAATGTGTGGAGATGGTCTTACTAAAGGACTACTAAGATCATATTAAGAATGTGTACTTAATTTCATTTTTATCTTTGGATATATCACATGTAGTTGAAGTCCTTTATTAGCAATCCCAACACCAATAATAACGCTTGTTTAATTGTGTAGTTAGCAAACCAAAGCAAAGGTATGACAATTCTCCAGGGGTGCAGTTATTCACCTACTAGGAGACTGCTTGGTGAAGTATTTCTTAAAAGGTGATTCAGTAACCCGTGAAATCTAGGGTGAGTTTCCAGATCTTTGTCATTCTGGGCTGAAAGTTAAGAATGTTAAAGTTACCTGTATTTTAAAGCAAACTGAGGGATAGGGAAGAGGGGTGAAACCACCGATGTTGAAATTTCAGCTATTTTTATACTAAGCCTGAAGTTCATACATCATAAAAATATATTTTAAAGTATAAACTGCAGAGCTTTCTTTGGTTTTAGCTATTACAAATAATTGTGAATTCAGTGTGTGTTGAAACAACTTCTGTTACCACATTTTGGGTGTTTTATATTATGTGTTATCAAGCTGTGTTTTTGTGTTTTATTTTAGCTTATTTGCACTAATCTTGATGAACTCAGGGACTTAATCACAAAAATCGAGAATGAACTCAAAGATCTGGAAAACAGTAGAAAAAAATCGGTAGGTGTTGATCCAAAAGTTCTATCTATTATTGTCAGCATAAAAATTTATTCCTTCTTTTTTCTAAAGCCTTTTTTATCTTGTTCTCCTGGATGACATAAAAATTTGCAATGAACAATAGAAACATTGTTTCTTTTATTTCTCCTGTGTGGTCTGCTTTTTATTTTTAATAGATAAAAATTGTGCCGGAGCAAGCAAATTAATTTTGTTTGCCTGGTGTATATCAGGTATAATTTTAGATATTTCCCAATATACTGGTTGGTCGTTGTCTGACTGGTTGTTTTTTGGGTAATGCTTACCTTGAAAATATTCTTAATAATTATGTGCTTTCTATGGAAGTTTATTGCTTAGTAACATAAAATTTTAATTAGCTGTGACATAAATAACAGGTGTAAATTGTTTAATCTTGCCCCAGATGTTTTTGATACATGCCTAAAAATGTCTTAAGAATCTTTGCCAGCTAAAGGTCTTCTTTTAACTTTCACTATATATTCTAAATTCTAAATTAATCCTTATTTCATATTGTTCTTGAGAATAGAGTATAGGGGCATTATATTTATTCACTCAATACTTGGTAAAACACTCATTTATTTAATCAGTACTACCTATTTAACTGGCATTCATAGTTCGGTTATTTCACAAATTTGAAAATCAATCATCATTTTTAAAAATCCTTTGTTTTATCCCTTAGGAATGTCATGAAGCCCTTTTTAGGTTTTTGCTCAGAACCTGTTAATCTAGAATTATGTATAAAATAAAGTTAGTGATATAGCAAGCTTTATATCAACAGATTTATAGTAGTCATTTTATATGCTATTTTGAAAAGACATATTGGTAGCATTCTGAAGGGAGGAGACTGAAGTATCATAAAATTACAATCTTCCAAGATTATTTTAATACAGAAGTGAAACAGCTTTAAGCATATCCGAAGTCCCTCATGTGATACCCCTGAGAATATCGCTATAATCTAACAATAATGTTCATAATGATAGTCATCAATTAACAAGAAAATATTATGTTCAATGTATAATCTGAGAATGCAAAAAATATATATTATGAAAGTATTTCATTAAAAATTATTTATACCCTTATTAGAATCTTTTATTTTCATATATACACACATACACTTTTGGTATATGGACATTCTCTTGATATGGAACACCAAATATTGCTTTAAAATTTACTTCTGTGATATATTTCACAAACAACATTTATATTAGACTATTTTCTCCTCAGCCAAAGTTTCCAAAAATATATTTGATGTTACATGCTCATAAAGGACTGATGTTCTGTAATAAGAAATAATATTTTAATCAGGGTGTTACAGTTTTTTGCAGAAGCTGTTTATTTTAGTGTTTATTATTTTCTATACTTTATGACTCCAAACAGAATTTTGTTAAGTTAATTTGCTAATTGGTTTTTATGCTTTAGTAAAACATAATATATCTTAATTTGTTCCCATATTATAAATTAGGGTTTTGTTTTTAAGCATAATTGATTTATGTACTTATTTATATCATGTATTGTAAGAGAAAAAGACTTCTGCACACATCCTAGAGTTTTTCTGTGAAGCCATCTACCTCACTACCATGTGGTATTATGAGGTATAAGCATATTGCCTTCCTTCACAGGAACAAGTAGAAGAGTGGAAAAAAAACTATAAATTACAAATACTTAGCACTCTAGTCCTTGGGGACATGTAGGTTTTAATTGATTAGATTTCATGTCTCTAAATTTTTAGCTTGTCCATGACTCCTGGTATTTGCATATCAGTTTTAAAATATGATTTCTGTTCTTCAAGAAATAGAAGTTCTTGGAATTGTACTTAGTAGGGATAATCTTATTGAGATTACCAACGAATAGGCTGCCTAAAAGGTTTTCATGAACAGCTTATCCCAACCACTTAAATGGCCACATAGCATTCTAAAGGAAATATACGATTAAAAGTTGGCATCTCAGTATCATTTCTTTTTCCTTTTTCCTTTTTTTTTTTTTTTTTACAAAATCTAATACTGAGTGTGATGAATATTAGTTGCAGGAATTAACTTTATTGAATGTTCATGTTAATATTGAATACCAGTTTATTTGTCTGGTATCATTTGGAATACAGTATTCCACATAACTGAATTTTCTACATAACTAAAATTCATCATTCAATGGAAAATTTCCTACCTCCTTGTACTGTGTTGAACACAATTTAACCCTTTCTTGATTACTCAAGTATCATTATGAATATCCATAATTGTACTGATACCCTAAAAATCTGTTAATATCAGTAACTAAACATATACCAAAAGGTCTTTATGCTATGTATTATGAAGGTTTTCGTTTGTTTGTATTTTTGCTTTTGTTCTGTCTCTTCATTGTCAATCTGTCATTTCTTGTGTGTGTGTCCATGTACTTGCCCTGCCTGATATATACTGTGGATTACAAAGCAAGTAACCACATTTATTGGAAGTGGGTTCATGGTAAGGACCTGAGGGACTTTCTTAATAATGAAATGCCTGAACTTGGTGATGGTAATAACCATTTTGACTGATTCTTTGCCTCGAGAGCTTCCTTCACTATTGACAGATGAATAAAGTATTAATATTGGTCTTCATAAGAGGATATCACTGCCAAAACTAAAATAATATTTAGAGTCAAAACAACTTATTATCATAAACTTTCCTATTTACAATAATGGCTCCAATAACAAAGGGTATATTCTATATAAACATTCAGTTGTCATAAATGCCATTACTAAAGGTAGAAATTATATATGTGAGAGAGGATTTAAAATAGATTCATATAAACACTTGGCTGCTTTAGGGAGCTTCTCTACAGGGCCTTTCCAGACACTTTTTTCTACCAAAGCAATAAGGAAGAATTATCCCATTTCCTCGCCCTAGCTCAACATTCTATTAAAAAAACTTTTTCCTTGGCTGGGTAGCACAGTTGATTAGAGCAGGGGTCCTCAAACTTTTTAAACAGGGGGCCAGTTCACTGTCCCTCAGACCATTGGAGGACCGGACTATAGTTTTAAAAAAAAACTATGAACAAATTCCTATGCACACTGCACATATCTTATTTTGAAGTAAAAAAACAAAACGGGAACAAATACAACATTTGTATTTGCATGTGGCCCGCGGGCCGTAGTTTGAGGACCTCTGGATTAGAGCATCATCCCAATATCCAAGGTTGTGGGTTTCATCCTGGACAGAGCTCATAAAACAATCAAACAATGAATGCATAAATAAGTGCAACAACAAGTGGATATTTCTCTCTCTCTTTTCCCTCCCCCTTCTAAAATTATTTTAAAAATAATTAATTTTTTAAAATCCTCACCCAAGGGTTTTTAGAGAGAGAGGAACATTGATGTGAGAGGGAAACATTGATCACTTGCATCATGTATATAATCTGACCGAAGATCAAACCTGCAACCTTTTGGTGTGCAGGACAATGCTCCAACCAACTGAGCCACTTGGCCAGGGCAATGAAATTATATCTATATCTATATATCTATATCTATATCTACATCTATATCTATATCTATCTATCTTTCTTTCTTAACCACTTAGAGGCTTTGCTATTTGCTATTGAGGTACTCATCGTATTGGAAGATGTACAGTCTTTTAAAATCTAGATTGAGCTACTCGTCCTTGTAAGACAACTAGTTCTATTTATGGTTAATAATGTGAGGAGAGAAAAATGCTTTAAATTTCTTGAGTTTGCTCTAGTTCACTTGATCCCATACTTCATTTAGGAGCTTTTTCAAAAAAAGGCTTAACATCCTAGAGAGATGCTATACCTAATTACCAGAGATTCGTTTAAAGTCAAACTGGTTGAGGTAGAGGTATGTAGTTGGACAAAGTCCTCTAATTTTTTCTTTCTCATTATTTCGATCATAGGATTCTTTAGTGAGCTAAAGGAAAAATCATAACATTTTATTATTTTTGTAGTTTTAGTTGAGATATAATTTGCATATTGCTTAATTATATGGAAAATATCATTTTTCTATCTAGGAAGTTTATTAGTTTTCCAGAAAGATAGAATAAAGGTATTAATGAATTTGTCTGATCCTGTTGTATTTTAAATTTATTCAACATTATTGCTTTCTAAATCAAAATTAGGAAGATTTTGCCAAGCTTATACAGAAATGGTTATATTTCTGGGTGTTTCATGTGACCCTTTTTTTTTCATATTGGCTTTATTTTCTTTTTTAAAAAATATATATTGATTTTAGAGAGGAAGGGAGAGGAAGAGAGAGAGAGAAACATCAGTGATGAGAGGGAATCATTGATTGGCTGCCTCCTGCACATTGGACCGAGCCGCAACCCAGACATGTGCCCTTGACCGGAATCAAACCTGGGATCCTTGGGTCTGCTCTGTTCACGGAGCCAAACTGGCTAGGGCATTGGCTTTATTTCCTTATGTTTTATGTAATAGTTTATAATCAAAGAGGTTTCCGTCTTTTTTAATAAGCAAAGATCTGTGTAAAGATTGGGTATAAGCGGGTAGGGGAGGCCGGGGGAATGTTAAGGGGGGAAAAAAAAAGGAGACATATGTAATACTCTTTGTAATAGTTTAAGCAATAAAACAAAATTTTTTTAAAAAGGATATAAAAAAAAGATTGGGTATAAGGGAAAATTAACATTTGGCCAAAAAAAAATATTATAAATAAAAAAAGAAACCTTGTCTGGATTATATTATGACAAATGATGGAATGCTAGTCTTATCAAATAGATAAACTAAAATTAAAATATAAGAGCACATCTTTTCTAATACACCTTTTAGCAATTAAGCACTTCTGCACTGAGCAGGATTTAATATTTCTAAATATCATAATCAGTATATAAAAAAGCTATAAAATTGTCAATGCTCTTTAATCCTATAGTCCTATTTGGGATTTAACATTTATTATACCCATTTCACCCTTACCCAACCCCAAAAAAAGTAGTTTACACAATGGTGTGTTCCACAGACTACCTCTAATATTGGAAATTTGGAAAAAGCTCGTA